TTTAGTATATTGGGGTTATATTGGGATAGTGGAAAAGAAAATGGAAACTATGATGATGGGTTTTATAAGGGGATATATAGGGGTAACATTAGGGTTATATTGTGATAATGGAAAATACAATGGAAACAATTACATTATTTTGGGGTATAGAGGTATTATACCAAACCTTACATCCTAAACTCTGACCCCTAAATCCCAAGCTTGAAGCCCTAGACCATAAAACGTAGTTGCCCCAAATAAGGGGACCCCAATATAGACCCCGATATCTTTGAACCCTTATTATGGGGACATGAAAGAGGTATCCCTAAGTTCGGGAAACCCCTATAAATCCAAAGCCCTAAGCCCTAAACCTTAAACCCCAAACCCTAAACTTCCCAAATCCCAAACCCTAATCCTTAAAACCTGAACCCCAAACCCTAAATCTCCCAAATCTAAAATCCAAAGCCCTATGCCCTAGACCCTAAAATCCAAACCCTAAACCTCCCAAATCCAGAACCCTGTTCTCTATATCCCTGAACCCTACATAGTAGTTTCCATTTCATTTTCCATTATCCTTGCATAACCCGAACGTACTACAGTAGCTTCGATTTTTCCATTACCCCTAAACCCCCAACACCCTGTTCTCTATGACCATCCGTCTCCATCCCCTATTATAACCCCAATACATAGCCTATTTTGATGTAGTAGTTTCCATGTTTTCCACTATCTCTACATGACCCCCATTCCTAAACCCTATATAACCCCATTGCAATAGTTTCCATTTTCTTTTCCATTATCACTACATAAACCCTATATAACCCCATTGTAATAGTTTCCATTTTTTTCCATTATCACTACATAGCCTTTAGATATTCTATGACCATCAGTCTCCAGGCTCGGTGAGTCACATGCTGAGAGCCTTCGCCTTCGGCACCGTCCTCATTCATGTTTAGGAGATATACAGGGGTTATATGGGGATTTATAGGAATTATATAGGGATAATGGAAGAGCAAATGGAAACTACTAGTCGAAAGCTTCTTCAGGGAAGGCGTTGTATAAGGAGAATGGAAAAGAACATGGAAACTATAGGGATCATAGGGTTTATATGGGGGTTATCTGCTTCTTCAGGGATCACTATAGTAGTTTCCATTTTCTTTTTCATTGTCCTTATATCCCCATACAACCCCAATATACGATCGTAGTTTCAATCTTCTTTTCCATTATCCCTACATGTGGCTGCCTTTCGTTATTTGGGGATATTAACTTCTAGGGATGCATTAAAGGGGCAGTAGCTACAAGGGTTTAGGGCTAAGGGTTTAGGGTTTTGAGCCATTGGGGGCCCTTGTTTTAACAATGCTGCCATAGGCCCACCCCGAGTACGGCCTGCATTTCCCTTCTTTAGATTTCAATCTTCCCGATGTGTCGTGTTGATGCCCTGGTTCTCTCCGAGATTGTGGCATGTGGTTTTGATGCCCTAAACCCTAAAGCCTAAATAGTCGTTTCCATGTTTTCCGTTATTAAATATACCCCCCATACCTACCCCATAATCCTTATATAACCCTCATTATAGTAGTTTCCATTTTATTTTCCATTATCCCTATATATACCCTATATAATCCCTATAATAATAGAGTAGTTTCCATTTTCTTTTCCATTCTCCCAATATAACTATATGATATATTCCCTTATTCCCTATTATAACCCTAATATG